ATTTAAGGACCACCCCAAACAAGGCGCTTGAAGTGATAAGAAATATACCTGCTGTAAATCTGGTAAAAAAACACGTGGACGCCGCTTCGGCTCAGAGTAAAAAATATGGCTTTATGGAAGGAATGGCGGTTTGGGTAGTTGTGATCAAGAAATCGACTACTCTGTCCCTGAACGCACCTTCGGCAGGCTCTTCAAGACGAAAATCCCGTCAAGAAGAGAGTGGCGTAGGCAACGATAATATCGGACAGCCAGGCGGCCATCAAATCATTTAGTGCGATCAAAGATTGCACAAGAATGCCTGGTAGCCCTAAATGAGATTAGCACCGTCTTCAAGGTCACTTTCCCAACTTTAGCTAAGAGCAGAGCGGGCTTTTAAGGGAAAAACTCTTTTAGCGCGCTCACGGAACTATCCAGTGTAGGAATAAAAGCAATCCTACGCTTCGCAAGTGTTTCAAGATAGTTCCATGAAATATAGTCAATGAGGTTTCTGTGTTTCGCAGTGGCAGCACAATGGACCTGCAGGGTCTAAGCGAGTTGGTATTTTGGATTGACTGCCACATTAACCTAACCTAAATCATGGAAATATAAAAGAAGAAATGCATCAACTGTTTTTAATATAGTTATCGATTTTAAGTCGTATATTAGATTTATCCCAAACTCTATAATTTCTTATTTACTTCAAATCTAACCTAACTTATGTATACCTCTTTCTTTTTCTCTCTTCTATAGTCGATGCCATACGTTGTCACCAATGTAATTCCCATCTGCAGGAGGATTGTAATGCGTTACGTTTAATCACACCCCGTGCGCCGCTTGACGATCAATTCCTTGAAGAGTGTTCAGAACCAGATATGTTTTGCCGCAAAACAGTTACAAACATCGAAGTGAGTGGTGAGAATCGCATCATACGCAGTTGTGGCAAGCTGGATAGCTATGTGGGTGAGAAAAAAGACAATTGCTTTGATGCTGACAATGAGGGCTACAAACAGACCATCTGTACCTGTTATGAGGATGGCTGTAATGCGGCACCACCACGTCTGGCCACTGGCGACCACGTGACCATGTTGAGTGCGACTGGGTTGTGTGTATTGGTGGCACGTCTGTTGCGGATTAGTGCTTAGATAGCGTTAATGTATGTGGCAAATACATGTGGATGTAAGGCATACTAAATATACTTTGTAGGATAATGAAAATTGGAAATGCTTTGCACTAAAAAGCGTACGATGAGAAATGTTTAAAGTCTATTTCGATACTTTTTTTTGTTTGGTATAAGTCTTCATTAAAGCAAATGTAACTTAATGTGCAAACTTTTGGACTCGATTTATAAATTATCGACTTAATAAAATTAAATGCATACATATTCTAGTATAAGTAAGTTTGAATGTACACGATGTTATTTTGAATACTTTTTCATGATTTCTTTTGTAAAAAATGTAATAAACAATTTACATATATTAAAAATATAAATACATTATATTAAAATGCGTTTCAATGGGCTTAATGAATAAATGTGCTTTACTAAGCGATGGAAATATAAACAAAAAAAAAACTCGATCAAAATCGATATATTTATCGATGCAAACTTATGAAATAATTGACAAAACATGTATGTACATGCAAATAGCAGTCGGAAAAATTATTACCTCATATATCGATAGTTATCGAAGGATACTGTTATAGTAACTCTTGTAAACAATTCTATAGTTACCTTCATCGATAGTCATAAATTTGAATACTGACTATTTGATCGACAAATGTACATACATATATCGATAAATAGAAAGTGTTAATACATATGTATATATAGGTTTATTTTACAATTAAGTGAAAAAACAAAGATATGCAGACACAAATACTTGCTATTTAGCGATGCAGCTATCGATAGTATAGGTGAAAATGTATTTATCTAATAAGTCTACTAATAGCTTAATCATTATACCGACATACAGTTATCGATAGATACAACTGATAGTATCTTCAGGGAACCACTCTACGGACTACTTTATCGATAAATATAGTCCAAATTTCATCGATAAATATGTATATCGATTACTTGATCGAACAATATACCTGTATCGGTAAGTAAATATCCAGGTATTTGGGTAACGCTTAGTATATAAATACTTATTTTTAAATGGTAAAAATATGTATGTAGCAAAATAAACACTTAAATTGTTATATATATATATATATATTTTTGTCGCAAAAATTATTGCTATCGATAAATTTATCGTTATCTAATGGCATTTATCGTTGCAGTCACCGAAATATACAGCAATAATAACTTTATCGAATAACTCTGCAGAGAAATTTATCGATAGATACAGTTATAACATCGTCGATGATATAAAACATACATACGTACAAAGATAGCATGGACGAGCATTAATATATCGAAATATTTCTGAATTACGAAAACGCAAACGCCAGTGGCCTTGAAAATTATAGCTAAAAAAATTTATAGTTAAACTATGTATGTGTATCATTCGCACTTAGACACATAATTCAAACTTTACCTTTCAAGAGTATTTTTTTTATAATTCACCTACAAATATTATATATTTATTCTTAATTGATACAGTTATTCGCTTTTTAAGTAAGTACATACTTCACTACTCGCCCACTCGCCCAAGCACAACTTCGACCTTTTGTCTTATGTCTTGTCTTTTCTTTTTCACTACTTACATTTAATGGCTTTTTAATGTTCTTCGTTCCAAGTGTAAAGTGCTATGTTTTTTTATTACCGTTGTTGTTGTTTGAGAGTGCATTTAATTTACAATGCAACTATTTTATTGTTTAAATGAATATCAACGAGTTTTAAGTGGAAAATTGTTTACTTCAAGTTGTGCAAATAAATTTTATAAGTAAGTGATGGATGGAAAATTAATTCTCGACTTGGTATCGATAGGAGAAAAAGTAATCTAAAGAGATAAAATTTTTCTTCTGAGAAGGCCTTCATATGCCCCTGCTATTTACCACCACCGGATACCACGTTGAATATCTTCAGGGTATCACAGTATCTTTTTCTCGAAGACTATTGTAGTCTGGATGTAACTACACAACAGTGCAGTGGTATAAATAGTCATTATTAAAAGTTATGTATATGGTTTAGTCAAGTAAGACTAGGCAGTGTTCAGAGCGAAACTTTTGCCTATGGCTACTTTGAATGCAATTGCCGACCTATTTCCTAAACATAGAACTTTACGTAATGTATACCACGTCAGCCTGCTAGGTACGTTTAATTTTGACTTGGAGGTACATATGTTTATTGAACAAAGAGCAATCAGCTGTTTGTTTCTGGTCCTCTTTTACAGCTGATATTCCATCAGGAATGGAAGGAATGGAATGGAAAATTGAATTATAAGCTGCGAAACTATTACACGAAAGTCTTATTATAACTGCATGCTTGCCACTATTCGGGCAGTCGTCTTTAGTCTATTTAGCAGATCTAACGCTTTCGCCGTGTTATAGTCAGGTCACAGTTCCCTAGATATTTTTCAAGCCAATCCAAGGACTTTTCCAGCAGGGCATCCCGGTGTTACCGCTTCAAATTTGTCAAAACAACCTTGCGCCTTCGCCAATTCATCAGCTCTATCATCGGCTTCGACGCGCCTATGACCGACAACGGTGTCAAAAAAGATAATCATTGACGGAGCCACCAACCGTAGAATATATTTTTAACTTGATTTTGTGGTCGACGCTAGTCCTCAAAAAAAAAACCGGAGCTTCGGCTAGTAAGATACTTATATCCTTTTCCAGACGAAGGATCAGCGTGGCATCGGAGTATCCGTACACTGTAGTCCATCTTTAGAAGAGAGGTCACATTGTTTACCTAAGCCTAATGACCCACTGAATAAATTCAATTTACCAGCACGAGTTTCATACCGAAGGTGGCATTAGCAAGTACTATTCATTCTTTGCCTTCAACCATGCCCAAGGCAAATTCTTCCTTAGTGATGGCATTGCTTATTATGAAAACCACATTTTCCAGAGTCGTTTCATAAATTTTTTCGCTTGATGGGCCGGGTTGCTGCGAAGGCAAAGGGTGGTGCTGAAAACGTCCCCCTTAGAATGTGAAGCTTACCTAGTTTTTCTAGACATTTAAGCATTAAAGAGGTCTGAAAACTTTTGGGATCTATGTAGTCATTCTTACCAGTCTTACAGATGACGGCGATATCATTTAGTCTCCATGATTGTGGAATATAAGCAAGTGATATGTACGCAGTGAAATTCTTTTTCGAGGTCGCGAACCGGAGCTCAATGCCGTTTTTGAGTAAAGTAGGTAAGAAACAATCCGGAAAAGGCTATTTGAAGTTGTTGAGGGGATGTGCAAGCATAGACGGATTTGTAAAAGAGTATGCAGTAATACAGAAAGGGTCTCAATCTTTGTCTCCTTAACGAACTATCAGACCTCCTTTTTTAGCACTTTTACCAGCCTAGCCAGTTGACTCAAGGTTTAAATATATCTGCAGTATTCAGTAAAGGAAGCTCTTTCCGAAGCACGAACTAGCTTCTTGGACTATCTTTGTGTGCAACGATAGCCTATCTAAATATTATTTTTTGGGGCCTGGTTATAAAATTCGCTCAGCTTCTGAAGCTCCTTATCACTAGGCAACAGAAGTACGGGTCAGAGGTGGCACAAAAGGCAGTCGTTATTTAACCACCGCCTAGTCTGTAGAGTACATATCCCAGTTGGCAGGAAACTAAACCACATTTCGTTCGTTCACTAAACTTTGCGGCATAAAATGAATTTCACACTTCCCTCACCAGCCTTGCAAGTTTATACAGTATGTATGTATGTAAGTACTAATTTTCCATTGTTTTCATTATTTAATCCATTGTGGGCAAATAAATAAACTTGTTTAATAACTGCCATGTAAAAATTTAATTAGAAGCAAAAGTTTTAATCCGAAAACATAATAAAAAAACACAAAAAAAAATAAAAATAAAACTGTTCAGCTGTTTGCAAGCAAATGCCGCAGATGTGAATGTAAGCTGCAAGTGCGGCGCTAAAAGGATGTTGCACTTAAACCGAACCAGTCAGTCAGGCTAACTATCCAGCAGTAACGCAGGCGGCTTGAAACTATTGGCGTCCAAAAGTTAAATAAGAAAGTTTTAAACAAAAATGTTTGCCTTCTCGACATGCGCTAATCCAGCGCTCAGCTCAATATCTGCGTTACTGCTTTGCTCTCACTGGCTGCGGCAAGTGAATCAGCAGTGCAACTTATAATTAGTCCGCAGTGACTTTTAATAGATTCATCAGGGAGTACATACATTTATGTTATGTAGTTGGCGTTTTTAGTATTTCGCGCTCGGCTGAATTGGAAATTTTGAGCTCAAAAGTTTAGCGCTTTTCCAAACGGAAGTAAATAATTTACTATGTATTGAAAGAAATAGAAGGGATATCGAATTGAGTTTGATTCACATAAAGACATGCGTTTTTCTCAGCGATCGCAGCTTTAAGACTACCCAGCAGCTACCCGACTTTACTAAATTATTTCTATGTTTTCCGCAGTTGTTTTTTTTTTTCAATGAAATCTTTAATCCTTCTGGTTTGATTATCCAACACCTTTCTCATACGCTCGTTCCCCTATGCCATTGGGAATGAAGGCCAGTTGTTCGAATACCGAGTACCTTAGACAGCTGACTCGCAGCTCAATGGTTGGTGAATATTTATGCTACTGTCTTAGGTCTCTTCCCGCAGTTAGCAATCCACCAACAGCTTATATATTGTATGTGAGATTTATCGTGTGTAACTGTCGTTAAAAGGACCTAATCTCACGGCGCCTAGAAGCTCAGCGGCTCAATTCAAATGCCTCGATCAGCGTCCTGAAATGTAACCGCATCAGTACCAATTGGCAGTGAGGGATGAAAACACTAACCACCTTGGTAGGGCTCGAGGTCCATCTAAAGCTCTGCCGTACTATGGGTTCGGCACCTTGTTGCAATGCAACTCAACATTCGTTCTATCCGCAATTGGGTGTAATCCACAGCCACCACGATAGTCCCCTAAGGGCTGCACCAAGAACATACCGGAGTAATGCTCACCCGCCAGACTTGCTCAACCTGCTCGACTCACCCGACTTACACCATCTTGCCAGACTTGGACATTTTCGGTTTTATCAACCAGCAATATTTGCTCACACTTTCTATTCCTTATTTCCTGTGTTGTTCCCACTCCAGAACAACTTCTCCCAACATACTTCCTGTGCTGTCTCCCCCACCGGAGACAGCTTCATCCTGATTCTCCCTCACCGGATACAACTTCACCATCTCATTCATTCTCTTCGTTTCGCTCATCTCACTCATCTTGCTGGTGAGCCCACTCCAGTCCTGTACTGTGAACTGACCTTAGACAGCTACACCAGGCCGGAGTGATTGC